CCTCATTTGCAACCAGAACTACTACTGACTTATGATAATGACAGATACACTTCTCTGCATGGGTCCTAGACTTTGATAGTTGGAATTTATGCTCCAGAATGGAAAACAATATAAAACACATATGGGCAACTAATGGACTTGTACGAAAATTGGTATTTAATTGGAGATGAGAATGGAGTAATGTGTTCTCCCAAAAAAGGACAGAACTTCTGAGAAATATTTCAAAATAACACAAGGTAAAATACTAAAGGTTTTGCACAGAGATGCAAAAATGCAAATTTTGAATTTGCAAATAAGCCAGGGAAAGGGTGAGAGTAAAAAAGAAAAAGGGACATTAAAATTACAAAATTGAAATACTATAAAACATATAATCTAAAAATGAAAAATATTTCACCAATAAAGGAGAAGAAATTTCCTGGCAAAGATTGATGAATATTTATTTAAAGATATTTTTTTTTACTGAAGATCACATAGAAACCATTAATGAATATTCTCATTACAATAATGAAAGTTTGTGAAGATATTAAAAAGGTGTAAACAGGAAAAACATACAGACCAGATCATTTACCAACATTTTATAAAATTTTTGAAAATGAATTATAACAAAATTATAGCAAAACCTGATGAATACTATTTTACAGACTAAAAAGATATCAGATAGTTGGATGGAGGCTGACACAGCATTAATACTTACCAAAAGTCAAGACTTGACTTCACCAAAAATTATCATACAATACCATTACTTAATTGTGATCATGTTATTCATGATGATATTAGTTGAGAGAATAAATACGGTTTTACAGGACTACTAAAAGATTTGAAGTAGATAAAAGGAGTTTTGGTTTGAAATATAAGACAGAACTTGAAAAAAAAAGTACAAATGATGAACATGTTACTTTAAAACAATCTAATAAAGATATCTAAACAAAAAATTGAAGCTACTTCTTTATAACCTTTCTTTCTTTTTGCTTTCTATTTCTATTTCCTTTCTTATTCATTTCTCTTTCACTTTTGTTTCTTTTCTAATATATGGATTGTTTTTATATTGTTAAAATGTATTTAATTAAAATTACATTAAAAATCTATACTTTGAACACACACAATACTATCTATACTAAAGTATGAAAGTTAACATGAGTAAATGTGAGGCAATACCTTATGTAGTTTGATCCCTTTATCCAAATTTGAGCAGGACGACAGAAAGGAAAGCTTTATTATTTGACCAATATCACCAATATTCAACTGTTAAAGTAAAACAACAACTATAAATTCATGTGGTGAATAGATTTGAATTCTCTCTCTCTGTGTGTGTAGGTCTGTCTATCTTTTAAAATATCTGCATTTTCATATTAAAATATCTACATTTATATGGCTTCAAATCTGAATCTCTTTTAAAAGAGCAATTAAACTAAAAGATAAAGATATCAGCAACAAAGGTTGGAAAATAGTCCAGGTCCTCAGGATGTCAGTTCCACTTTTCACGGTTTGTCATTCCTTCAGTATGTGATCTTTATACTTTTCCCTTTGGAATTTAAGAACATATATCTAATTTAGCATTCTGTGTTATCTATTGAATGAGTCAATGCATTTGAACTTCAGAAGTAGATTACAAAGGACAAATCCTCTCCTATTATGACTCTCAGGCTTTTTACATTCTTATGCTCAGTTTCAGATGATGACAACAGTGTGGTGAAATTAAGTAGAAAAAACAGTTTCTGCATCCTAATTGCAATATTATTAACTAGAAACCTACCAGAAAGGGTTCGTTTTTAAAATGTTGAACTCTCTGTGCAAGTGATACTCCATTGGTACCATAGGCAAGTATTTTTATTTCAGGTATTTTTTCTGAAACATGGACATAGTCTAGCCACAGTCTCCATTGTCCTTGGCTTTTTGCTTCAAAACCTTTCATGGGGCCAGATTTTTCTGTCATTTCTGAATGAAATACAAACTGATTCAGGTTTCATTTAAAAGGTCAATCTGAACTTATTTATTGTTTTGTTATATTTAATACGTTATGTTGTCATGTTGCCAATAATTCTAGAGTAAGATCATACATAATTTGAGGTGTGAATTACAAATGTACTTTAAATTCACCAAAACTCTGAAGTGATTTCAGGAATCAAAGCAGGTTTCTTTTGAAATAGAATTACCGTATTTGCCGGCGTATAAGACGACTTTTTTGCCCTGAAAAACATGCCTCCAATTGGGGGGGGTCGTCTTATATGCCGGGTCGTCTTATACGCCGGCAAATAGTAATTGGGAAGCACTGCGGCTGCCCGTGGCTGAGGCACTTTTGCGCACCGTGGAAACGAATCCCGTGAAGCCGAAAGGAGCAGCCAGCCTTCTCCCAGCTCCCAAGGAAATGAGGCTCGCACCGCCCGAGCTCCGCTGAGGTATCCGGCTGGGGCTGTCAGGAGTTGTTACCGCTGGCGCGGCTCCGCGCAGCTCCAGTTCCGCGTTGCCTCAGGAAGGGAAAGGCAAAACCAGGAGCCGCTGCTGCCATTGCAAAGCGCCGCCGCGGCTCTTCCTTTTTGCCTTTCCCTTCCCGAGGCAATGCAGGACTGGAGCCACGCGGAGCCGCGCCAGCGGTAACAACTCCTGACAGCCCCAGCCGGATACCTCAGCGGAGCCCGGGCGGTGAGAGTCTCGTTTCCTTGGGAGCTGGGAGAAGGCTGGCTGCTCCTTTCGGCTTCACGGGATTCGTTTCCACGGTGCACAAAAGTGCCTCAAAAAAAAAAAAAAAGTGCAAAAGTGGAAGGCGTGCGGAAGAGGGGGCGAGTATATAACAAACTATATTTTGAGTGGAAATGTTGGGGGGTCGTCTTATACGCCGGGTCGTCTTATACGCCGGCATATACGGTAATCTAAAGCTCCCAAGCAGAAAGCTGAGTAAGAAAGAAGGAAGAGTGTACTTCTATGTATTGTTGTTCAACAGTAAATGAGGCATATTGGAGTAATGTATTGCCAAATTGTTTTAGGTGCCCATAATTTTTCTGTCAAGAGTGGAACGTTAAAAAGATTTGTAGAATCAATGGAATTTTGCATGCTATAATATGAGGGTTTCCTTAGAAACTGCAAGATAGTCAAATCATTCTTCCTCTGTTACTATTTCTGTACTTGATCCATTTACTGTATCATCTCACTTTTTGTAACTTGACTTTCAAACAGACTGAATCCTAAACTGTTGTAATTTACATACATTCCTAGCCCGTTCATACCCAGAGAGGCATCAACATTCAAAGAATGAAGGACACCCTTCAGAATCTTTGAATTAGTTTGTAGGAAAATGAAATCAAGGCATCCTCCATTGACCCGGACCTCTGCAAGGCCTCGAGCACAGAACAAAGAGAATCATAGAGGTTCAGGTTACAAGACAAAACTTCCTAGAAATAAGAAGCCAACTTGAAACTTAGGTCCTTTTGAATTGTAAAACTAAACCAAAAGTTGCAACTGGGTATGGATAGAGCCTCTCTATTGGGCTTCTCAATAATTAAGTGGTTTGGAACACAACTTCCTAAATTGGAATTTCTGACAATACTGGGGCTGAATTGCATAAGTCTAAGTCTAAGCACTCTTACACAGGCCCGCTAAGTCAAGATATTCAAGCATTTTGAGTATTTTATAAGAAATTGTGGGACTGGAAAAATTTAATAAAATATATGTAGCATTATTTGTATAAGACAACCTATGTTACTCATTCCTATGATATTTTGAACAGTTGCTTGACAATTCATGTGATAATTTTATGTGAGACAAATGCACACATACATGCATACATCTATCTTTGTATTTCTACATCTGTACATCTATCTCTGTCTTTGTATCTCAAATTTGAAAATTAAGATATGTGACCTTGTAGTGGGATTAAAGCTTCTGTAAAATCCTTTTTTGACTGTTGATGCAACCAGTTATTATGAACAAAAGTATATGTAGTAAAAGGATAGTTTCTTTCTTCTATTACTATCTTCTCTAGAAACCAATCATCTAGGAGAAAAAAAGAAAAAGGTTACCATTCAACTTTCTATTTTTGTTTGATTTACCCAAGTAATAACAGCTATACAGACCACACTGTATGAATGAGTTAATTAAAAATGATACAATGTGAAAGCTTAAATAACACTGCAATGGGAGGACTTTGTGTTCTTGTTCTTTTATACTCTTAAGATTTCAAATGTTCAACAAGAATACTTGAAAAGTGCTATTGCTTTCTGAAGTGAAAATCTAGTTATATTTTTAAATATTGTAAAAATATTGATGGAATCAGTATTCATGTATTTTGGGACTCTTTGTTACAATAATCTCTGCAAATGATCCTGTCATGGTACCTTTAAAAATAAATAACAGTTGTCAAAGTAATTTTGGATAGTATTACACACATGCAAGATGACAAACTGAATTGAAAATTTACTTCATAGTCCAGTAATATATATCCTGTATGAATTTAAAGTGAATAAGTATGATCTATTCTAGGTGTTAAATCAATACATGGTTACTGGTGATACTCAAGTAAAAATGAATACATACTGGTTATTTGCAGGTATACATTTCCATTATTCTTGAATACATTTGTGTACTTGCTGTAGTTGCTCCCCATTCCAATCTAATTCTGCATCCTGTTATTATTCTGGGACTACTACTCCAAATGTATCTTGAGAGTGCCACATTAAGGGAGACTACTTTTTAATTTTTCTTCTCAGTTATGATAGAAACTAAGTTGATTTGTATGCGGTATATAGAAAATCCTTCTTGAGTCACTTCTTACATCTGAGGTTATACACTTATGGCTGGGAATCTAAATATTCAAAGATTACACTGATCCAAGATCAGAATTATATTTCACCATTCCCACATTAGAAAAAAGATGTTGAGACTATGCAAAAAGTGCAAAGAGCAACTAAGATTATTAAAGGCCTGGAGACAAAAACATATGAAGAACAGTTGCAGGATTTGAGTTGGCTGGTCTAGAGAAAAGAAAGACAAGGGAGGACATGATAGCAGTATTCCAGTATTTGAGAGGTTGCCACAAAGAGGAGGGGGGGGTCAACTTATTTTCCAAAACCAAGAAGGCAGGACAAGAAAAAATGAATGGAAACTAATCAAGAAGCGAAGCAACCTGGAATTAAAGAGAAACTTCCCAACAGTAAGAACAATCAACCAGTTGGAACAGCTTGTCATCAGAAATTGTGATCATCACTGAATATTTTAAAGAGACTGGACAATCACTTGTCCTGCTTGAGCAGTGGGCTGCAGTAGAAGACCTAAAAGGTCAGTTCAAGCTCTATTCTGATTGTTTGGTGCCTTTTTCTAATTATTCTGAGTTGCTGTTTCCCCATTCCTCTGTACAATGTTTGCATTAGTTTGGTTTTCCTACTTACTATACAAAGCACTGCAATGGTCTTTCTAGGACTCATTCCACATTCTCTTTCTCTCTGCCCTTCCCACCCCTCTCTCAAAGTATACCTTTGTTCAAACCTTTGAACCCCACAATGACTTGATTCAACTTCCCAAGGTGCACTCCCTTGATTTGGTAAACATCCACCTATAATTTGAGAAAAGTTGATATAGTTGAATTTGTATGAAGCAAACTTTATCAGCTATTAACGGGTAAATCCAGTAAACATTATTTCTTTCCTCTGCATAGACGAACATTTTAATATATATAAATCATTTTTGCAAGATCATAGCAAAAAGGTTGTGCAATAAAGCTGACATCTTTGTCAGTGAGTATTTTCATTTTATTGCAAATATTAGATCATAGGGTTATGTAAGCATTCAGTATTTCCTGGATTTCTTCACTGTTCCAGTAACAGAGCTTCTAGAATCAAATAAATAAAATCCAATGAATTATGATTTTTACACAAAGAGACTTTACTTCCTTCTGAAGCATCTTAGATTAACTTTATTCAGAGATTATGTACTGGACTAGAGTAAGTTTCTCAGCTTTTAGGCATTCATGATTTAATTTATATTATGCCTATAATGTTTGGTAGAGAAAGGTTTATTTTAAAGAGCATTATGTATTGCTCATTAAAGCCTCATTGCTTTTTCTTTCCCTATCTCCTATAAAATGTTATATTAATATCTTATGTCCTTGTCATATTATAACAAGTTTTGCCTATGAGTTTTGATATTTCACGTTGAACCTATTTATGGCAGTTGACCAAAATTTATTCATCAGTCATGCAACAAATATGTTCAGAATCACTATTTCTACTCTCCAATTCTTCAAAAGTAATCTGAAGCCAGCTCATGGTTGTCATCACTTCAGCTGACCTTAAAATACTGAGAGCATTACTATGTTCTCTACTTTTGTGGGAAAGGAGAAAGAAAGACAAGAGTTGCCACCTATGTAAGAATAGGTCACCCTTAAACTCTAGGCAGTTCTTAAAGCAACTACTGGTGCTGTTTCAAATATTCTATAGCTAAGGCTACAATAAATCAGTTCTGCTTCTGAATGTACAGTAGCTGATATCATGGGATACATTTGCTGTTAACAAAAGACATGTGAGAGTTCTCAATTGTTGATTAAGTAGCAGTATCTACAGACTATCTATGAAAATTACCTTCACATTTTATGAGTATAGCACAGGTTGTTAGTTTACTTTATACTGATCATACACAGATCTGAATCAAGAAGTACAGAAAGCATTAAAATAATAGGGAAGATGACTAAAGAAATGAATACAGCAAAATTGATCAGTACTTGGTTAAACATGATTCCATTCATGCCATTACATAATAAGGAAATTATTCTTTACATTTGAAGCATGTCTGTTAAAAGCATATGCATACCTATTATGTAATACATACATACATACATACATACATACATACATACATACATACATACATACATTACCTGTCCTCTACCAAAAGTGATTGGTCTTGTTTTAGAATTATTAAGCCACCGTTTTCCTGAGTCACCTCTATCTCCACAAATACAAAAATAAGCATTGCCACTGGCATCAGCTTTCTTCCTGTCTCCAGTATGTACATGGATAGAATACTCAACAACTGAAAGTAAATAAGAGAAATATATAGCACTATAATAAAAGGAACTGTTGAGATTAGTTGGCAACTACATTGCACTATTAGTACACATACATTTTCAATCAATTACATATCAATATCTTTTCTTTGAGTAGTATTATGCCCCATAAATATGCCCCTTAAATATATATTTGAAATGTATTTTCTAAGTCCTTTGCATCTTCTGTTTTATTTAGCCCTTTCACTTTCACTTATCCCTCTATCCTTGGTAATTGTATTCTATCTAAGGGCTAACTCTCCCTATCCCTTGCTTTGTATGAACTGCTGATCCAATTAGCATTCTTCCATCCATCCAGTGAATCCATATCAATAATGGGGAAAAGAAGAAAAATAAAACACACAAAACTGATAGTTCTTGAAGGACTTTTTTGGCAGAGTTTGTCTCCAAACACTTGTTGGGATAATTAAAATCTTCCATCAATACAACTGCATGCCTCTTTGAAATATATGCAATTTGCTCTTGTAAAACATTAGCCACATCTTTTGAGTAGAAAGGGTGACAAGAAATACTGATATCTTTATTGTTTTTACTTGTTCTTCAACTTATTTAATCCCAGAAAATCTTTACATCATTGTCATATTCATTCACTTTGATTTTTGAAAAGGAATGGATATTTTTTAACACGCAATCGAATTTCTCTCCATTTTCTAAGACTTCTGATCCTTTTGAACAAATTCCATTGTTTAACTGTTGTACACCAGAGCTGGAATTTACATTGATTTTATCTTCAAATTCTGAACAATTGTATATAGACAATGAAGGTGATAAATTGTATGAGCCAATATTCTCTATGAATTTTCAGTGTGAGTAGTTTAAGAGTAGTTTAAGTAGTTATTTCAGCAACACTCCTTTGTATTTAGTAAAAAACATTCCCTTTTTTCTAAGGGACCTGCTTTAGGATGTCCATTTCTTTCTCCGACAGAATTTGAAGTCCTTATAATTAAGCTTTCCATTCTTTGACCAAACACACTGTGTGTGTGAGAGAGAGAGAGAAGGAGAGAGAGAGAGAAAGGCAACTGATCTTGAGGTATTAGTCTTTCATCTAGATCAGGGGTGTCAAACTGGATTTCTTTAAGGGACGGATCAGCATTCTCCTCGCGGGCTGGCGGTGGGGGGAGATGGGACCAATGCTTCCTACAGCACCGTGCTGGATAAAAATGAGGCATGTGGGGGCATGCGTGGCCACCACTTGGCCCATTTTTTGCCTGGACAGGCTCCTGCAGAACTTTGCTGGCCAAACCAAGGTGCAGGATCCCCTGCGCCCCATTTTGGCTGGCAAAGTGCTTCAGGAGGCCATCCAGGCCAAAAATGGGTCACATAGGGGCCATTCATGCCCTCCTGCACCCCGTTTTAGGCTGGTCCTTTAATATTTCCAGGCCAGCCCCACAGGCCAGATTTAAGCATCCCGTGGTTCAAAAAGAGGACCAAATGGATATGACTAACAACTAGAAGCAAGATTAACTTATAATTTCAGAAACCGTATTTAGTCTTTTGATAGCCAGCCACTGACATGTAGTATTCTTATTTTCTGGACTGATAGAATAGGTAAGAATATTACCTGATTCCTCAGAGTCTTGAGGTTACTTCCAAAATTTGATATATGGTTGTCCTTGCCCTACTATATGTTTCCATGTATTTCAGCAGGAAAAAATTATTGTCAATTTTTTTTATAATTTTAGTAGTTGTTCTGTCATATTCTTGATCACTTCAGAGCCTATGGATTCAGTCAGCATATGTTTGTTTTAGTTCCTCATAGAAGTGAATTGCCAATTACAATGCCATTATTTGCTCTTTATTTTTTATTAAAAATGTTCATATCATTCATATATATATATATATATATATATATATATATATATATATATATAT